AAGATAAATATCGTGCTTTCATTAAATAGTTTTCCTTGTTTTTCTCTATCATTACAATTAAAAGTCCTACAAAATATGCAAATTTATTTACAGAAAAACAGAGCCAGCATCTTTTTTTTAAACATCCCCCTTTTGCTCAAAATTCCTTGTAAACAGTTTCAGAAATTCTTCAAAGAGATTGTTTTTTATTTTTTTTTGTTTTTATTTTTTTATATTTTTATATTTTTTTTGTAAAGATTAAGGTTCTAGGCTAACCCTTGCCCTGAAGGTTTCTAGAGCAAATATGGAAGCTACTGAAGCATAGGATGATGGGAATTTTGCGGATAGCAGATCATGAAGACATGAAGCGTTTAGCTGTGTTTTGTTGTTCAAGTTAGAACTAGCGTCTGATAAAAAGACAGCTGTTTTGTTTCCCATTTGCATTGTCTACAGAATCGAGTTTTGTTTTGTTTATTTTTTTTAATAGCTGGAATGCTTGCAGTTAAAAAAGCTGCCAAAATAGCCATTTCTCTCCTTTTTCTTCTCGATAAATAACAGCATCCAACAGCAATTGGCAGAGAGTAGGAATTTATGCTCAATCTAAACTCTACAAAAGTTACAGTTCTACAACATCTTTGTTTTTAGCATTAACGCTAACTTCTATGTAGTATTTTTTTTTGCTTTTTTATTTTTTTATTTTTATGTTGTCTAATTTTTTCTATTATATAGGTATTTTAAACTTTCTTCTTTTAAATTCTGTACAACTATTAGGATTTTAAATGGGGAGAGTTAGAAGCATTTACAAACCTTTTCTGTTTTCCATTTAATATCAACCATCTTTCCTTTCTCTTTTCTATGCCTTTTTATGTATTTATTTATGTATTTATTTATTTACTTTTTTTGCTTTTCATAGATATCCATCTTACTTGCCTTTAACAGTGCGATCCTTACTTATTATACAGAAAACCATATGAAAGCTTCATAGACTCTAATTAATGTATAACCAAAGAACCTCCCAAAGTATCAAAGAACTATTATCTTGCCATTTTAAAAGCATTTAAGCATTTTTTTTAAATTTTTATATATTTCATATAATCGTTCTCAAAAACTGTTTTAGGAACAGCTCAGAGAAAAGGAAAGAACTTCCATATTTTACATACAGCTACAAGTCTGCGGTAAAAAGTTTTGTCCTTTGGTCCCTATATAGCTAAGGAATGACAGATAAAGATGCTGAGTGACTGTTACCATGGGTCACGCATGGTAACCGCATCCTTGGTGACAAACAGGCACTCCTTTGTCAGTATCCAGGTTTGCATCTCTTGTTTGAAGAAAAGCCGCTGTGGTGATATCAGTGTCTCTTCAGAAATCCTGGTTGATCTTGTTCCTGTTCTGATTTTACTTATGTGATTGTTTGTTTGTTTGTTTGTTTGTTTTCAAGCGCATGTCCTTCGAAGTCAGCAGATGTGATACTTTTCTTGAAGAAATGTTACAGTCTAAACAATCAAAGAGAGAATAAGTCTGAAGTCTTCAGCTTGATTGATATTTGCTGATATGTCAAAGGTGTAATCCAACAGTTCCCGTTTTTTTTTAATATATATATACTTTTTTTTCTAAATGTGGCCCATTCAGCTGCTGCCCTAAAAAATGAAGAAGATCATTGCAAATTAAATCAAAAAGGGGAGGGGGGGAAGTAGGGATGGTGGGGGATATTTGGGACAGGGGTAAAAAGGACCTAAAAAATGAAAATTGATTTAATAACAAGCCTATTCTTTTGGGCCCAATCCTGCTCCTGTTGAAAGTAATGGATGTTTTCTTCTCCCTTCAATTGGGACAGGATGGGGCTTCTCATTTAGTGTTTTGCTTTTGGAGACATTGGCTCTGATTCTGCTCCCACTTAATGTCAACAGAAAGACTCCCCTTGACTTCAGTGAGAACCGGATCAAACCCAAAGTAAGCAAGGTAGTCACGATCATGATAGAGAAAAATACAATTGTTCCTAATAGTAATAATAATAATAATAATGAATCAAAATAATAGTAGGGCATGTCTACATAAATCTGTATCACTGTGTATGTGCAGATAGCTGCATTTTAATTATTTTTAAGTGCCACTTTACAATGCCAGATCACAATCTTGCTTGGCCGGCTTTTGTAGTGTGAAAGGCATTGAGAAAGAATTTTTCTACATTTTAATGGGGTGTCATCTATGACAGTGTGTGAGCTTTCTATGGAGACATAGCTGCCAATAACATCTACTCCTTTGTGAATGTCAGAAAGTAGGACTTTGAACAGGCAATTTATAGGAGGTTAAATAAAAAAAAGACTGTTGGAATAAACTTTTTTTGCAAAAAAAAATGTAAAGCTAACATTTCTTAAATAAAAAAGTTACTTTAAAAATATAATCATGATCCGACTAGGCTTGACATTTAAGTAGGATGCTTAATCATTAAGGATTAGCTCTTATCTCTTTCTAGCAAGCAGGTTCTTCTTATACACTCGGTGATTTATTACATCAAGAAACTTAGAAACTGCAAAAGGTCCACTCTGGTGGAAAAGTGTCATGCGGAATATCAATCCATGCTGGCAGGTTTTCACACTGTTGGTTCAACAAACAGCAAACCGTACACAGCAGTCTAAACAATTACAACACCAAAAATAATAATAGAATAAAAAAATAAAAAACACTCGTCAAGGACCCTTTTTCAGTTGTAAACAAAAAGATGCATTTTGCTTTTTGATCTGGATGGGGTTTTTTCCCACTCAAAACAATCCCTCCCTCCCCCTGAGCAATTAATTTTGGCTGGAGTTGCTGTAATACGGAACCTTAGAATTAGGAATTCTTGAAAAGACATACAATGAGGCTTTTCTTGGGGTTGTTTTTTTTGGATTGCTATAGTTTTCAAACTACTGTTACTATCATTACTCTTTTTGGTTTTTGGTTTCATTTTGTTTTGTTTTTAATTTTTAGAGGGCGATTTGAAATATCCTAAGGGGAAAAAAGGTGTCAATTGAAAAAGGCCCCAAATTCTCCAGAAAAAAAAAATAAAATCACAAGATTTTCAGTGCAAAAAAATTAACCACACATTTTTTTCTCTCTCTTTTTTTTTTTCAAATTTTCCGTAGTTATAACAATCCCATTTTTTCTAAAATATTAGGAATCCATCTTTTTTTTTCCTTCTATGTGACATCTAAAGAAGCATAAAACGCTGACGAGAAATCAAACGACAAATAAAGAAACCACTGCAAGCACCAAAAACGAAACGAAAATGAGCACAGCAAAAAATTGTGGCAGCACAAAGTCAAAAAAAGCACATGTGATCATGACTGGCCAATCATCAACTGATACAACATCCAAGAAAAATGCTTCAATCACGGCACCTGCACGAAACTTGACGGCATGTCATGCAACCAATTCTTAGCTTGTTACATGACGCCATCATGTCACACTTTCAACTTCGAGTTGATTTGAACTTACGGCCTGGGGGACTGTATTCTCCACTTTCATGTCATTACGTGAACTTTTTTCCTAGCTCAGCGCGAGACTGTGGTGGATT